GTTCTAGCGAGACAAGCTTGTTAACCATTACACCACGTCGAGGTGGCCAAGTGATTTTCCAAGCGTAGCTTAGATGCGGCACAAGGCCGAAAGTAAGTGGCACCCAGTGAGGATCGAACTCACTACTTTGTCGTAATTTTTCTAGCGAGACAAGCTTGCTAACCATTACTCTGCCTCGAGGTGCCTATATTGATATTCCAATCGTAGCTTAGATGTTGCACAAGACCGAAAGTATGGTGCACCCAGTGAGGATCGAACTGACTACTCAGTCGTAATTGTTCTAGCGAGACAAGCTTGCTAACAATTAAACCACCTCAACTTATCCAATAAAAAGGATTATAAACAGAGAAAAAGTGTGTGTTAAGAAAAAGAAAAACGAAAGCAAATAGAGAAAAGTTGAGCGAAAAGATTTGAAAAAAAAAAAGAGGAAAACGAAAGAAGAATGCAAAACCAAAAAGTACGCAGGGAAGAAGAAAGCGAAAGAAAAAAATGGAAAAAGGAGGCGGTTATATCGAAATGAGAGAAACTTGTACAAAAAAAAGAAAAAAAAACGAAAGAAAAATGAAATCGTAAGAAATTGTAAAGAGAAATAGGTAAATGAACAAAAATAATAATAAAAGAAGCAACTAAAAATAAAAGTACTCAAGAATAAGAAATCCAGAAACAAAAACTAAATAGAAAAAAATTTGATGGAACAAAAGTAGGCGGCATTGATATTTAGTAGTACATTAAACGTGTCCGCTTTCCATAAACTTTCAACTCTAAAGAAAAGCAAATATTGACCCTTTCTTCAAATATATAAATGTAACTAATCCCAGCCTGGTGATCCTGTTTAATTTTTTTTTTCACGCTATTTCCAATTTTTCTGTAGGTGAACAACCCCACCAAAAAAAAACTCTGCCAATCCCTAGCATTTCATATCAATTACGTTTTTTCCTTAGGTGTATTTAGGACGACAAGCAAATAAAACCTTACCAATGCCTTTGAATTCATTGACAGACACAAATTGGGAAAATAGATGATGAAGAAACATTGATACATCAAATATCATATAATATTGATTTTTCTTACTTGTTATTTATTCATTTTACTTATATTTTTACGCCATCGAACGCTTTTAGTTTCAACACTTCGAGAGTATTTCATACAATTCTAGTTTACATAAGCAGGCTTGTCGATTAATCATGATGACTGGTTAATAAAGAATTGGGCGATTCAATATTATTATTATTATTATTTCCTTTGATTTCTGTTGTATATTCTTTTCCTTCCGGGTCCCAAACAGAGACCTAAGGTCACCAATGGCATCGTGACATTTTCTACTGCACATTTGTTAAAAAAGAAAGAAAATTTAAGAACATACACATTTTACAAAGATAGGTCTCCTTTGTAAGGATTGAGATAGGCTTGTGATTATTATTATTATTATTATTATTATTATTATTATTATTATTATTATTTGTATTTCTTTGCGGCATAGAATATAAGTTATTCTTTTATTGGGGATATCAGAAACGTTTCTTCCCCAAAGACAGGAATTATTAATGTCATCACATGCCTCCTTATTTTATTTCCATTTCAAGATCCTTGCATTTTGCTAGATATTGAAGATCTTCAAAGACGCTTTACAGTCTACAGCAGTGGTTAACCAATTTTTGGCCATGTCCCACTTTGGTATTTCTAAAATTCTGATGCCCTCTGTAATATTTAATTCTTACATATTCAAAATTTTACGGCAATTCACGTGAAGGAAGCAAACAGAATGCTAACACGCGCTGATTGGTCGACAAAAAATGGGCTCTGCCAGCAACATGCATCACGTCCTCTCCTTACTCGCTGATTGGTCGACAAAACATGGGCTCTTCCAGCGACATGCATCACTCCATCTTCTTTGGTGACCGAGACAGGCGAGTGTCGAGAGACGGGAAATACCCTGTATGCCAATTATACATGTACGTACATACACACAAAATATTTTTATGTATGCGTACTGTATAGTGATTTTCCAAGGGTAGCTTGGATTTGGCACAAGGCCGAAATTAAGGGGCACCCAGTGAGGATTGTACTCATTACTCAGTCGTAATTGTTCTAGCGCGACAAGCTTGCTAAACATTACACAACCTCGAGGTGCCCTAGTATGCATACTGTATATGCATCGTATGTATTAACAAGCATTAACATTAACAATCTTAGACTCACTAGAAAACAAATCACTATTAATAACTCATACTCGAATTGTCCCCTTATTCTGTTGGTATAGTAAGCCGAAGGGTGCACGTCCTATGCATGCTTCACCAAAATATTAACATGTATGCCCCCGACGTTGGGAATCATTGTTTTAAAGATAACTTGAAAAAGACAGACATACTATCGAAATACTTTTGAACATTGTCGAACAAAATCTTTTCTTTTCTTAACTCACGCTATTTTCTAAGTGTTAACAATAATAATAATAATATAGATAATTTTTTTCATATCATCTCCAGTAATTCGACGACATGATTAGATTGGTAGGAGAGTCCATTGGGAAGTATGTCGTAATGTTTGGCTTCAGTGTAAAAGAGAAGTGGTATAGACATTTTTCAGAGGCAGTAATAGAAAATGGCATTTATAAGATATGAGATCTCTCGGTTCAAACAGACCATGTGATTGAGACACGAAAATTCGACCTTATTGCTGTTAATAAGCAGAGATTATTGACTGTTCCATACGATACTAGAGTACACTCCAAAGAACGTAAAGAGATAGATAAGTACATACACAAAATATTTTTTATGTATGTGTTATACCAGAAAATAACCTATTCTATTGTAATAGACTCTCCCACAGATAATAACTAGTAGTCGCAGTGGCCAGTTGGGCTCAGTGGAGTTGAGTGAGTCAGTCGATGTCGGCCATTGAAGTATCAACCATCACAACTAGATTGCTGCGTCATTAACCATTATTGCAAGTTCCTGACGTTTTGTACGTCGGACCCATTTAGGACCGACTTATTGAAATACAAGCCTCCACTGTGAAAACTACGTTACAATAGTATGCATACTGTATATGCATCGTATGTAGTAACAGACATTAACACTCTCACTCAGACTTACTTGAAAGCAATTCACTGTTAATAACTCATTCTCGAATTGCTCCCTTATTCTTTTGGTATACTAAGCTGAAGGGTGCAAATACTACGCATGCTCACCAAAATATAAACATGCATCCCCGGTGGGTAATGCCCTACGTTGCGAATCATGGGTCTAGAGGAAAATATATTCTATTTTTGTGGTCTATAGCTGGACGCTTATCTTTAAATATTCTGTCTGTGTGTATTGTAAAGCATCAGAAATTTGTTATTGGTTATATATCTGTCATCGAGTCTGGGTTGTGTTCATGCAATTTTTTTAGCGGTTTCCTTTTCGAAAAAGCTGCGGGTATTCCAGTACAATCTGTCACGCCACCGAGGTGTATGATCGGTGGATGGTAATACCGGGCCATTTGCTACAAGATTGTCAATTGTTTCGGGATATTAACCAGAGAATCTGCATTTCGGGTTAACAATGTTTTTTAGTATGGATATTTACTTGACGCCCCACTGAGTCAGGATGTGACACAACACAAGGTCGGTTTTAACGTGGGGAACCCGAGTGTTTCCACTCGGGCCACTGGTCTAAACTGGTCTTAGCTGGTAATAGCTTGTCAAAGCTGGTCTGTATAGCTGGTCAGCAATAAAGATGAGACCAATAGTCCGAACAATGTAAATAGTTACAAGACCTCATCTCAGAAATATTGACTGTGAATATGGCAATAAAGATGAGGACAACAGTCCGAACAATGTAAATAGTGTAAATAGTTACAATACCTCATCTCAGAAATATAGACTGTGAATATGGCAATAAAGATGAGGACAACAGTCCAAACAATGTAAATAGTGTAAATAGTTATAAGACCTCATCTCAGAAATATAGACTGTGAATATGACAATAAAGATGAGGACAACAGTCTGAAAAATTTAAATAGTTACAAGACCTCATCTCAGAAATATAGACTGAGAATATGGTAATAAAGTTGAGGTCAACAGTCCCAACAATGTAAATAGTTACAATAGCTCATCACCGAAGTTAAGCAACGTCGCGACTCGTCTGTACCTAGATGGGTGACCGCTTAGGAATGCCTGATGATTCTATTGGTGTAGTAGATAACGTCTTGGAATTGGAAATCGAAGAACGGAGTTCAAATTCCAGTCAGGATTGTTCCCTAGTCATAGCTGGTTTTGGTTTGTCATAGCTTGTCCAGACCCGAGCCGGTCCAACCTAGATATAGCCGTGATAGTCCCCCCCCACCAAGCAACTGGGCCGGAGGATATGTGCTGGGTAAGTATGCAGTATGTGTGCTTAGTAATTTCTCGCTAACAAGAATTTGCCCTGTGAAGAAAGAATAAAACATTCGGTTTCAGAATTTAACCCTGCACTACATAAACATTGATGAGTACTAGTGTTGTCGACATCAGTTTGTTTGGCACGTGCAGAATATTGACCATGAATAAGTTTAACTTTCTATCCTTTCTGCATTTAATTCAATGCATTTATTTTTTAACTTGCTTTTAGTATATTTGCAGCTGCAGTAGGCCGGCAGTTTGAAACACCAGTTTTCATAAGATCACCGAAGTTAAGCAACATCCTGTCTGGTCAGTCCCCCAGATGGGTGACTGTTTGAGAATACTCACTGCTGTAAGCTTGGATGTGTGGGTGGTGTAACTGATAATGACTCGGGACTTTTAATCAGAGAACCGAGTTCCATTTTGGTTATATTCCCTTACGCGTAAATACTCTTATTAAAGCTATGATTCCACCTGTCGCCGCAAGATATGGGTTAATTAGTAAAACCTCTATCACTAAACCATTATTATCTCAAAAAATACTTACAATCTAAAAATGTTTTCAGGCTTTGAATAAACTTAATAGAGTTGATAAACCGTAGAAAACGAATAAAACAATAAAAAAAATCAATGTTGTTGGGTCCATATCACGTTGAAGCAACGTTTTTCATACGATCACCGAAGTTAAGCAACGTCGCGACTCGTCAGTACCTAGATGGGTGACCGCTTAGGAATACCTGGTGATTCTATTGGTGTAGTAGATAACGTCTCGGAATTGGAAATCGAAGAACGGAGTTCAAATTCCAGTCAGGATCGTTATATTCACTGACGCGAAAATACCCTTGTGAAAGGTATGAATGCACCTCTCCCCAGCTATAGTGATATACTTTTTTACCAATAACTCTGTTGTAGAATTACATTGGCTATCAGTAGGATGAGTTGTTAGTAATTAAATCTAACTTCATTAGGGTCAAACACTATTTAGAGGAACCTGTTATATAGGAATAAAGTGTCGCTGCCGACACGTAAGTTTGAACATAGATCGCCAGTGAGCAAACATAGCGATCCCATTATTGAATTAAGTAGACCACGTGACCATAGAGGAAAAACATAAGTAGGAAGTCGTTTGATGTCTAATTCATCTGCAGTTCTAGTCTATGCTCTAGTACTAATCGGATCTGCACATTCGATCCTGTTACTATATGGACCGCTATTCTAGACTATTCACTATTCTATTTCTCTATTCGGATCACTATACGGTTTACAATTCGAGCGATTATTATCGAGCAAGTACCTTCAGTGCGAGATTATTCGAAAAGCTCAATGGCGTTACTATAGCTGTAATCTGCGATTACAAAGTCTCTATTACAATGAACATTACGAAAGTGACAACGAGTATTCGTCGACATCACAAAAATGGCAAGGAGTATTCGTTGACATCACAAAAGTGGTAACGTGTCTTCGTTGACAACTAATGTGGCAACGATTATTCGTTGACATCACAAAAGTGGCAATGAGAGTTCGCTGACATCACAAATGTCGCAAGGAGTATACGTTGACATGTCAAAAGTGGCTCCGAGTGTTCGTTGACATCACAAAAGTGGCAAGGAGTATTCGTTGACATCACAAAAATGGCAACGAATGTCCGTGGACATCACACAAGTTGCAAAGAGTATTCGTTGACATCACAAAAGTGGCAAGGAGTATTCGTGGAAATCACAAAAGTGGTAACGTGTGTTCGTTGACATCAAAAAAGTGGCAATGAGGGTTCGTTGGCATCACAAATGTCGCAAGAAGTATATGTTGGCATGTCAAAAGTGGCAACGAGTGTTCGTTGACATCACAAACGTGACAAGGAGCATTCGTTGACATCACAAAAGTGGCAACGAGTGTTCGTTGACATGATAAAACAACAAAAACATAAAATTGTGCTCACCAATTTTCAACTGCATCCTGAAAATAACTGGCACAACAATCATCTACTACTCGCTATCCTACACATACTCTTCTTCTTCTTTCCTTTTATATGTTGCACCCATTCAAAACGCAAATGATCATGGCTCTCCTCATCTTTCTATTCTTCATAGCTCTAAGTGAGTTTTATCTTTTGTTGAGATGTTGAGTGTTTCCCCATGCGTGTATTGAAATAAGGACAAACACATACGTAGAGAAAAATACTGGTATATCCGAAGAGGTATTTACAACAGAGAGATTAGTAATCAAACGAACGCAGGTTAGTCAGTAACAATCAGAAAGAGTATAAAGTCCAACTGTATCTTCCGGTTGAAGTGTGATGGTCACCTGATCTCCTAGAACTTTATAGAACTGTCCTATTTGTACTGGAGAGATTCCATTTTGATGAGAAGGTGGGTGCCCCCCATCTTTGCACCGCCCACGTTCTGTCATCCATTTATACATGCATGCAAGTTAGGTTACTCGTTGTTTCTTTCTATTTCTATTAAAGCTTCCTCGTAACTCACATGTTCAGTCCATGTTATTCTCGTCACCCTTCTATCGAGCCATATTTCTGTAGACGCACATCTCTTGTTCATCTGTGATGAGATTGTCCAATATTCACTGACATAGGAGGACCAACATTGCATAACCGTTCCGCACTATTTTCTTTAACGAAATTTTCTTGGTTCTCATTACTTTGCTTAGATTATGGAAGGCATCTTTTGCGTGTCTATTTCTCGTTAGCATTTCAGGATCACATCTTTACGTTGTCTGTGAAAACACATTTCCCATCAATTTATTTGTTCCTACATTAATGATTTTAGTTTTGTCGATTCGTATGTTCTTCTCCCTGATACCCATAGATTGGTTTCTTAAAATTGATGATTAATCTTCTCACTTTTCATTAACACCTCTAGGTGTTGGATATCTGTTGAGAAAAGACCTTTGGGCTTACTCCCACTGCATCAATGGGTGTGTGTGTGTGTGTGTGTGTGTGTGTGTGTGTGTGTGTGTGTGTGTGTGTGTGTGTGTGTGTGTGCGCGCGCGCGGAAATCAGAACTGGTAATAGCATCAAGAGGAAATGCATCCGCTGGCTAAAATAAAAAGGGCACACAGGACTCCTGAGCCTAAAATAAACACGACGGAAAGGTTCCCTGAGCGTAAGGAAATATGTGCTTGCCCGGGAGCATGCCGGAACAAACGTGGCCACACAAAGTTGCGTAGGCCACAAACTGGAAATAGGCGTAGCCACGCGGAGTTGTGTAGGTGTCCAAATGTTATTTAACCGGTCCGATTCTTGATCTGCATAGAGAAGCTGGCGAGATGTTCAGCGAAGATTTGTCGCAGTCAATTTCTGTGCGCGGAATCCTAAACTCTTGATTGTCCCTCACGTTACCCATTGGCTGGAACATCTTGTCTGGTCAGTCCTGAGATGGGTGACCGTTTGAGAATACTCACTACTGTAAGCTTGGATGTGAGGGTGGTGTAATTGATAATGACTGGGGACTGTTAATCAGAGAACCGAGTTCCATTTCGGTTATATTCCCTTACGCGTAAATACTCTTGTTAAAGCTATGATTCCACCTCTCGCCCCCATGGCGAATATAAGAGTATTTACGCGTAAGGGAATACAAGAGTATTTACGCGTAAGGGAATACAAGAGTATTTACGCGTAATGGAATTATAACAATAATGATTTTTATATATAATGGCAACAACTATAATAGATAATATTTTTAAGAAAATTCTAATCAACATTTGGACTTTCACACTACTTCGAACAAAAGGTGATGAAGGAAACCCACAACTATACTGGAAAAAGCAATAATAGTAACTGGACATGATAATTTTTTTTTGCTCTCCTGAAAAAACACGTTTTAATAGAAAAAATATAAATGTCCAAAACAAAATAAATGGATAACAAATGTTTTGGATCTCCCCCATATTTCTGAGATGAGATCAAAAGGTTCGATTTGAAGTCCTCATCATTACCCATATTCACAGTCTATATTTCTTAGATGAAAATTGTAACTATTTACACTATTTACATTGTTCGGTCTGTTGTCCCCATCTTTTATTGTCATATTTTTTTTCTGAGATGAGGTCTTGTAAAAAATTTACATTGTTTGGACTGTTTTTCATCTTTATTGCCAAAAGTCTATATTTCTGAGATGAGGTCCATCATTTACACTATTTACATTGTTTGGACTGGATCTTTATTGCTTGTATTCACAAATATTTCAGAGATGAGGTCTTGTAAATTTACACTATTTACATTGTTCAGTTGTCCTCATCTTCCTTGTCATATTCACAGTCTATATTTCTGAGATGAGGTCTTGTAACTATTTACACTGTTTACATTGTTCGCACTGTTGTCCTCATCTTTATTGCCATATTCACAGTCTATATTTCAGAGATGAGGTATTGTAACTATTTACATTGTTCGCACTGTTGTCTGCATCTTTATTGCCATATTCACAGTCTATATTTCTGAGATGAGGTCTTGTAACTACTTACACTATTTATATTGTTCGGACAGTTGTCCTCATCTTTATTGCCATATTCACAGTCTATATTTCTCAGATGAGGTATTGTAACTATTTACACTATTTACATTGTTCGGACTGTTGTCCTCATCTTTATTGCCATATTCACAGTCTATATTTCAGAGATGAGGTCTTGTAACTATTTACACTATTTACATTGTTCGGACTGTTGTCCTCATCTTTATTGCCATATTCACAGTATATATTTCTGAGATGAGGTCTTGTAACTATTTACACTATTTACATTGTTTGGACTGTTGTCCTCATCTTTATTGCCATATTCACAGTCTATATTTCTGAGATGAGGTCTTGTATCTATTTACACTATTTATATTCTTCAGATTGTTATCCTCTCTTTATTTTCATTTTCACAGTCTATATTTCTGAGATGAAATATTGCAATTATTAGCCTTAGTTACATTGTTCGGTCTCTTGTCTTCATCTTTGTTGTCATATTCACGTTGTTTCAGACGCTGTACGTTCCAGCCTTCTTCAGTTGATTAACATTTCCAAAGGAACCCTTTATTTCATCCACTAGGGTAGATTTTTCCAGTTCCACGTGCCATGCCTCTTTTGGATATCTCGGTTTCTGTTCCTTACGTAACTCAACTCTCCAAGTTTTCGTTCACCTCTCTCCTGCGGCCAGGTATTGAACTCACAACTCTTTTGTGTTAACTCACTAGATTACTTCAACCAGCGCTTTTATGCACTGGGACATCAGCTGAAGAAGTCCAGAACATACGATGGCCGAAACGTCATGAGCATGACAACAAGGATGAAGACAACATCCCGAACAATGTAAATATTGTAAATGTTTCCTTATGATATAGATATCAACATTAACCATTACCGTTACTGCTTTTAATAATTTTGCCTGCGTGTCTATCAATATCTTCGCTTGCTACATTCTCAATTGTTCTAATGGATGTAGAATGGGCAGAACTCTATTCATTCTTAATACAATGACGGTTGGATTTTCATCTTTGTACAGTGTTCTTTATAGGTCTCAGCTAATGGCTAAATAAACAATTGTGAACTTTTTACCCAGTTGTTACTTCAATTAACATCTAACAGTTCCAGGGAGAAAATCTATCTTCTACTTAATTCATTTCGTCCGTGTAGAAAGCCCTTTCAGCCAAGCACTTTTAAAGCCTGATCACCGATCGTTCATCGAACATGTCACTAATCCAGTTCTGTGTAATCAGCAAACATTCTGATCCCTGTAAGTCTTTGATCTCGTCG